TGCTAAAACAAACAAAATCCCACTACCAATTTATCAGTGTACTTTGGGGAGTGATTATCTTCACTGCCCTCACCTTCTCCAGAGACATCCTACGTAGAATGAAAAGAGACCGTGTTCCTGCTGCCCCCTTTTCCTCCCTGCCTCTGCTAATAAGAAATAAGCATTGAAAAGTTATAGAGTTTTCATAATCATGAATGGTTCAGGTTGACTTCTTTCTGGGGTGGTAACTGAAAAGTTCTCGCAGATTTCTGATGTTTACATTTGTTCTTGAGGGTGGAGCTCACGAAATTTCCTTTTTTCTAACCTTCCTAACTTGCCCTAGGCCTCTCTACCAGCCCCTCTTCCCACACCTACTTCCCAGGGATGAGACCCACCCAGGTGATGCAGCCATAAGGTAAAAGCTCCCCCTTCTCAAGTAGACCATTTGCATTTCTATAGACCCTCGGGGTGGGAGACAATGGTCTCTACCCTTCACTGGAAATCTGGAACCCATGCATTGCAATTTGCAAGAGAAGGACACTTTTTTGTAGGAGACAACTTCACTGGCAAAGGAATTCGGATTCTGAGGGAAAAGAGCACCATCTTCACAGATGTTTAGGTTGTTTTCAAACACCAGAACATTGGGACTAAAAAAAATAGAAGCCTGGAGAAATTCCCTTCAGACAGTTTTTAGGTGAAAGAAAATGCCAATAGATGAAGATGGATATAGGAGAGAAGGGAGGAGCTTTTACAAAAGGTCAGGTAGTTAAGGTATAGGGGAAAGGATGTAATACATGACCAAGGAGAAATTATGATCAGCAAAGCAAAATGGTGGAGGATAAGGACGACCATGTCTGAAAGCACAAGTGGAGTCTGAGCGAGCGCAGAAGGGAAGGGTGGGCACCCCTTCTCAGCCAGATGCAGTGTAAAAATTGAGAATGAGGTTTAGGAAAATGAAATTGAGGAAGCTCATGGTGGATGCCTCAAGTATGAAGCAAATTTGTAACCAGACAACCAAGGGTTCCGGGCTACCTGGCACTACTTGAGCCAATTAAGCAGAGACAGGGTTAAATCATATGTGAGCATTTATTCCAATATTGCCGGCAGCCTGGGAGAGCAGCAGGTCATCCACAAAAATCTGCTCTGCACCCCACCTTAAACCAGCTGCTTATGTTGGATAGAAGGACAAAGATTAAGTGGGGAAGTAGGAATTACAGGCATCGGAAAGTAGGCACAGGATATCAGCACAAGCTACAAGTCATGCGGGCTGCGGGGAGAAGGGGGTCGCAGGAGGATGGGCACCTCTGGACCAGATTACATGTAATAGGGGCAGTGGGTTGTAAAGGGCAGGTGCCTCCAGGACTAGATTGTTTCGGCCACGAGGTTGTAAATCTTTCCATAATGACAGGTAGTTCTTGGAAGGAGGATGGACTGTATTCCCTTGTTAGCTCCCATGTCCCAGGGCCTACAACTCCCAGCCAGGTTAGAATGTGCTTTCTCTAATAGGTACAGAACCATCATGGCTAACAGAGCATGATTAATATTTCTTATAATTGTAGCTGGTCCCCAGTATTCTATTTCTTCCCCTAACAAATTCATTTGCAGAACTGGAAGAAGACCAAGTACAACGGGGGTTTAAGAACAGCAGAAATAGGACAGGTTTGGGACAAGTGCCCTGGATAAGTGTCCTGGATAATCACCCTACTGGATGAGAAAAGGATTTTAGAGGATCAATGAAGACACGATCAAGGCTGAAAAGCATAAACTTTTAGTGGAACAAAAATTTTTAACTTTATCCAACAATGCCTGGTAGTACAGGAGCAAGCTCAAAAGAAAGCTTTCAAATGAGCATTATGATTATGAAAAAATAATGTTAAATGAAAACATTTTAGGGACATTACTCATGGTGGATTTTAGTAACATTTTAAACTACAAACATGAAATATATGATATCAAAACAGTTTTCAAACATATGACCTGAGAATACCACAAAAAGAAAAGATTACTGGAGTAAAAAGATCAATTGGTTCTTGTTTTCTTCTTTCTATGCTAGCCTAAGGCAAGAAAAAAGAAAAGTTTTTTTCTTTCCATTGGACACATCTTCCTTTCATCCAGTATTATTACATTTTTTAAAAACCAAATCATTGATATCTTGTTAGTGTAACAGGGAATAAAAACTTTACATTTCTCTTACTAATCATTGAATAGAACTAAAATAATAATGTGCTCACCAAGGAAACTAGTAAAAATCTATATAAAGCAACTAATTTTACTCTTAGTAAATGCTAACCCCAGCTTATTACTCTAACCTGATTTCCCCCCTCAAAACTAGAGCTTGTGGCCCAACCAGTGGTCGGCAAACTGCGGCTCGGCAAACTGTGGCTCCCGAGCCACATGCGGCTCTTTGGCCCCTTGAGTGTGGCTCTTCCACAAAATACCGACTTCTGAGCATGGGCCACGAAGTTTCAATCGCACTGTACGTACGCGCCTGCACGTGGTATTTTGTGGAAGAGCCACACTCAAGGGGCCAAAGAGCCGCATGTGGCTCGCGAGCCGCGGTTTGCCAACCATGGCCCTAGCCAGTTTGGCTCAGTGGATAGAGCATCAGCCTGTGGACTGAAGGGTCCCAGGTTCGATTCTGGTCAAGTGCACATGCCTGGGTTGTGGGCTTGATCCTCGGTGGGGGGCATGCAGGAGGTAGCGGATCAATGATTCTCTCTCATCATTGATATTTCTATCTCTCTCTCTACCTTTCCCTTCCTCTCTGAAATCAATAAAAATATTTTTAAAAAACAAAAAGAAAAAAAACCTAGAGCTTGTGTATGGTGAAGGCCTGGGGGGTGGCAGATATGGAGTGGAGGGGGTAAATGGGGAAAAAGAGGGGACTTCTGTAATACTTTCAACCATAAAGGTAAATTAAAAAACAAAGCAAACAAACAAAAAAAAAACCTAGAGCTTGCATGTTATAAGTTTTTTTTTAAATATAATTTACAGGAATCTGCAGTTTTAGTTTCTGTGTGAACCTAAGGAGCAGCCTGACCTTAAGACACCCTGCCCCAGGAAGTCAGCTGACAAGCAACCAGCTGGCCCACTCACGGATGCTGACCATAAAGATCTTATTCTAAGAAACAAAATAACTTTCTTGATTAAATAACATATAATGAACTATACTTCTCCACGAGTTGGGAAACAGGATGTATGCCTTAAAATAAAGGCCTGGCTAGTCATGCTTGCCTTAAACCCCTAACATCCTTTTTTGAGCATATTGTAGAAATGAGTTGTTCTGGATGCTGCCTGGGTCTGGGGTGGCTTGATCACAAGACTTCAGATGACATTAAAAATCTATATCGGGACAAGCAAGAATACTGCCTGAAGGTCCACAGCCCCCTCCCCTTGATTTCTTTGTTCTGCTTTCCCTCTCCTTCCTGATAAAAACCCTTGCCTACACAGAGATATTTAGATGGTTTTTCAGGACAAGAGTCCGCCATCTTCTCAGGTCACTGGAACTTGAATAAACCATTTTCCTTCTTACCAGCACCTATTTCATGAGTTTGGCTTTCATTGAGGCAGGTAGCCAAACATGCATTTGTATTCATTAGTACATTAAAAGTGAGTCTTATTTATTAAAAGTTGCATTTTATTTTGTCTATTCTCCCATAAACAAATACCAAAACAGTCAGAAATCAAAAACATAATGATCTAATTTCCATGATGGCAAACGAGCCACCACTCCATGGCCCCTGATAATTCCTTCCCAATTTTGGAAATGCTTAGGGGGAACACTCACATATTCAGCTGTTTTGTTCTGCAGTCCAACCCTGCATAGGATTATCAACTAAGTTAAATTTTACTACAAATTGTGAGAAATATTTTTCTAACCAAGGAACCGCATTAATAATTCTTATCTATGTTTATAATCTTCAAATACAATAAGATAAAAAAAACAAAGCATATCATCTAACTTAAAACTCAGGAAAATCATTAGACATATATAGCTTGTACACACATTAATCTGTTTCTCTCAACAAGATATTTATAATTTCCAAAATCCTATTAGCTTTTTCTCACAATATGGTCCCTCCAACTTGAGGGGCAGTAACATAAACATAATCTTCTTACTAAAGAGATTAGTATACGATAAGAAGGAACCTAAGAATATCAGTGGCTATATGATACAGCAATGTAATACTTGAAAGCATAATGTATTCATGAAGTTCCACTTTAATAGCCAGTATCTAAATATGAAAGTTATTTACAAAAAAATTGATATTGACAAATGAACACAAAGTAACTTTAAATCAAAGCTTGTTATTAAAGCACGTGATTTTCGTGTGTACTGATTCTATGGCTCAGTGTTATCAGATTTAGAGATAAACTGGAAAATACCCAGAAAATAAAATCCATCAACTGTAATCTATTTCCTTTACTCCCTTGTGAAATCATTAGAAGCATGGATTTACTCTGTCATCCGTGTCTTTCCCCACCTACAACCTTTTAAGGGAAAGAGCAAACACCTGTCAAGCTCATAGTGCTAAATGCACACACAGATGGGTGTTTAATAAATATCTTTCAACAGAGAGATTAGAGGTTTGCTTTGGGAAGCAGGGAACACATTATCGTAAGTGTTGAGCTGATGACATCCATTATACAATACTTCAGCCTGTTCGTTTACCGAAATATCATTCCAAGGAAATCCTTTTTGAGTATCCTTTAGGTAGGGCTATAAGTTTGAAGAGCCAAAATTTGAGGCAAGATCAGCCCCAGGGAAGGGGGAGTGGTTGGGATGAACAAGGAAAATTCCGGAGTTTCAGTGACGTCAGGAAGCAGCGATTTTAAGGGTTGGGGTGCAAACTCACCTGGAGACGCAGAAGCTGCACACATGTCAAAGGTCAAAGAGCATAACCTTTGGGGCTCCCCAGCCGCGGGGAAAGTGGAACACTCACTCCTAGGTTCTTACATTCAAGTATTCGTTTAGGGGGGCTCAGCTGTTCCTACTTCTGACGCCAGGGGACAAACCCTACCTTTCACAGGTGGCGCTGGCAGAGAGGCAAAGCGCAAGCTGCTCCAGATTTCAGAGCCAGCTCCCGGGAGTCCCCCGGTACTTCCTTCCCCGGCCGCCTCCCGCGCCCCAAACCACAGACCCCTTCACCCTCACTCCACACCTTCTCCGGGCCCTCTCGCTCTGAACAGCATCGGTCTCTATGGCGACCTGAAACCGCAGTTCCCATTGGCCCGTTCAATATGAGGGCCGGGCCAATAGGGAGGGCCAGCCTTTTCTTCCCGACCAATAGGGTTGGCGGAGACCAGGTCCGGAGACGGCGGCGTGCTGACGTTCCCGGGAGTTCGGGGCTGGCTGGGCAGGCGGGCTGGCGGCT